TCTCCGCGTATCGATAAACGATCAATCAACCGGTACACCTATGGAAGAGGCCAGCGAGAAGGGTAAAAGAGGCGGGTTGGGTGGCGGCTGGGAGAAGGTGGATGATTAGACGAAGAGGTGGAAGAAGAGGAGGAATTCGTAGAAGGGGAGAGCAAGCGAAAGGGATGAGAGAACGGTACGATGGTTGGCGAAGATGGGTATGTGAGAGGAAGGATGGAAGGGGTGGAACGAACAGAGATCGCGTTCTCGTCACAACGGGGGTGAGAGAGAAAGGGAGGAAGAGAAAGAGAGATTGCATGGCAAGAGAGCGCGGAGCAGGTTGGGAGCGGGTGGTGGCCCGCAGAGTATCGACCCACCGTGGAGGAGAAGGTAGCTAGGGTCGCCGTCGCCGGGTTTTGTTGCTATAGGTGTGCCGCGTTTCCGTCTATGAGGAACCTGCATGAAGACGCTCGGGGGCTCCAAACGCGATACCGAGGAACACGAGCTTCGTCGCCCTTCGCCAACGGCTAATGCATCGGATGCCATCTTCCTGATAGGAAACGTTACTTTCTTGGATTATCGAATCCTTTTGCAACATAACAGACACACTCTCAAAAAGAGCGACGTCAAATTAATCCGATTTTAATATAACAGCAGCTTGTCCACGATGAAGACCTCACCCCCTATAATTCGATGTCCACTTGAACTGATATTGTTATTTTGGAAAATCATTTTTAAATTGCGTTGTCATTTAGAATAATTTATTTACGAGTGCACCCTACTGTCAAAACGTTTGCTACCAATTGCATACACGTTCACCATAGATTTCTATGTCGCGAAATAATACAACCGGCTACAGTCATCCAACAGTTTCAATCGAGAAAGACATCGTATCTCGCCACATCTTTCTACCGTTTCTCAAAGTTTACATTTTCCCCGGGCCTAGCCGGACGACCTCTTCATCCCCACTTTTCAGCAGAAGTCACCCCACCAGGGGGTAGTAGCGACGTCATCTTTGGTGCTTTCCCTTCTTCGCGTCAGAGATGTCTCGCGGACAGAGGTGGTTAGAGGGACAGGTTATCAAGGCGGAAAGAGAAAAGAAGATTTGGATAGCGCGGAAGAGAGACCAAGAAGGAGAGACATGTAACCGATTCGAATTACCAGCTCGACACGCTCGCCCTGGTATTCTGGAGGACGTATCGCGATCCGCATCACTCACGCTCCGTTAAACGCGTTAACGACCCGGGCCCGGCCACGTAGAATGCGCGAGCTCGGAATACATCCTCCGATTCTTCGTAGTCGTTGTCGCGGCACGGTCGTTTGTCCTCGTCGAGGACGAGAGAGCGTGCACGTCGTGTTTCACTTGGCCCACCCTCGCGTTGGTTTCTGCTTTCATCATTGGCGTAACTAGGATTTTTGTTTGGAGACATAGATCACCACATGGATCGCGACATGGATACAAGGACTGTAATTTCCAAATTCATAACTCCTCTAATTTCAAGTCCTCTTGGTCCACAGATACTTTCTCAAATTTATAATTCCCGGAATTCCAGCATTTCCAGCTCCTTACATTGCTAATCGCTACATTTGCAAATACTAATATTTCCGAACTTGAAGTTTTCAGATTCTCAGCCCGCACCCTCGCGATCTTGCGACCGGTGTAATCACCTGCCCACCCCTACGGCTCACTGTACAATGCGAGCGAGTATCCCTAATTCAGGGAGGACCAGGTCTACTCTGACCCCTACCTAGTTACGCCAATGGTTTTCATCCACTGTCGGTTACCCCGTCTCTTCCAGCTCATGATATCCATCCAACCATCCCCTTGTAGTCGGCGCGCGCGCCACTCAAGTGGCCATGGAGGGAACAATGCAGCCAGCGTGCCGTGTGCCAGCGTATCTGGCCATTGTGGGGTCAGGTGGGTCGTCAGTCGGCAGAGAGCCCGTTGGCTGGCTTCGCGGGGTGTGGCCATATAACCATAGCCGCAACGATCTCTTCTCTCTTCGTCCTCCTTCCGCTTGTTCGATCTCTTTTCAGCGTTGGTCGCGTTGTCTCGTTTGGTAGCACGCGTTTGATCGCTCCGTCTCGGTCCGCGCTACGATATCTCTATAACTCTGTCTCTCGTTCGCAAATTCAACCAGCTACGCGCTCTGATAACAATAGGTGCTGCCCTCTCTGTTGCTCCGTCACGCGCTATCGCGCTTCTCCTCGCGTTCTCCGCGCTGGTTCGGTCTCCTTCGTCCCTCTTTCCGCTCGCGGATTTCGCAGTCGCCTCGAGGTAGGGATACGCGGCGCGCGTACGGCACCGAGCTACCAAGCAGGCGCATCGTCGACCTATTACAATGGCCAGCCCGCCTAAGCGTTTCATTGTCATCGGTCGCGCGCCTTCTCTCTGCCCATGCGTCGATGCGCACAAACCATTGTTTTCCACGAATGGGCGGCCCTCCGCATCGCGACGCCATCGGCATCGTCGCGCTTCGGTGCTCCTAGTTCTCTCCGTTTTGCACCATTCTCACATTTTTGTTCGAAATATTTAAAAAAACACGCAAAAAATCAATTTCAACGCGAACCTTTATGTGGACAACCTGGTACCCCGATACTCGCTTCCACACTTCTATGGAAATACCGCTTTGAATTGGTTACTTGTTGAAAGTAACCAACGATTCATGAAATTTTTGCGAAAACTAAAGGTTGATGTTATAATATGCGCGATATTCCATATGAGAGTAAATTATGTACGAAAACGAATATAACAGATGCCACATAGCAGCATAAGTAATGGATGTTGTATACGCAGACGTTCTTTTGGAGACGTGGATATTCGAGTACCCCGGTTGCTAAACAACCATGATCATCCTGGTTGCCTAGAAAAGGGAACTGTTGTATAATAGAATTTAGAGCACAATTAGGAAGAAAAAAACGCGAAACCTACATACTGAAGGTTGGAAAATGTACCGCGAGGTCATGCGCGATCTCTTTCCATTTATTTGCACGCATTAGCAAAAGGGAAATTGAAGTTGGCCGAGTTCTAAAGCGAAAACACGGTTTTCGTTGAAAAAGCGGTACGCCGTAAGGCAGGCCGGCCATTTGAGCGCGGCATTTTCATTCGCGCGCAACATTTATAATTCAGAGAAATAAAAGTGGCGAAAAGCGGCGAGTCCTCGGTGTTTCCTCTAGTTTCACGGCTCGGGATAAATATACGAAGCGTTCGATGAGCAAGATACGACGGTACATCGTGTCGGTCGGGGCGCGGCCTCGATAATGAATTCCCAATTAAAGATTCCATCGGGGCTCGGTGCGCGTCGATGATTTACGTCGTCTCCGTGAAACGAACGGAGGTCCTCTTTTCTGGCCGCGTGATTCCCAGCGACAGGCCGAGCGCGAAACGCGCACGAAATCCTCGTTACAACCGAACGGAACAAAACAAAATGGACGTGTTCCCAGTGAAAACCGTATTCATTAATAACGGGCTGCGAGTATCATTCGATCGCGCCACGTAGATATCCGACGTAGAACCGGTCGAGGATAACTCGACATGCGAATCTCTCAGATAAGCGGGCATCGTGAAGTAAATCAGATCTGTTCCCTCGCGCGGCCGTGCATTCTAAATGTAATATACGCGGACAGCGGGGACAATCAACCGCGAGCCTTATATCCAGCCACGCTCGAGATAACGATGACCGGATCTAGCCGGCATTAACGAGCCCCGTCAGAATACGTTCCTCTCGAACCGAATAAAACTTTGCTCTTCATACCTGCAGGCTGTTCGCGATGCGTTGTCTCGTTCGTTTTTACGTGTAATCGTTACAAATGGGAAGCTCGCCAGAACATTCTGATGCGTCCTTCCCACAGTTTACTCGGCGATTTCCAAGGGCAGTTCATCGACGGTTGCCTCTCAAAATTTAACGCGTTTTATCCTCCACTGGAAATTATTTGATCGCTCGTATCGGTCTTTCGAATCGAATACAATACGCGCACAGTAGCTACCGCTGCGAATTCTCTTTAAATATATCTCTGGTTAGGTTGGAGATTGAGAAATCTTTTATAAAATAACTTTGATCGCATGTATAAAGTGATAAATTCGCGTTTTATCTTTTAATTCTTCGACAGCACTAATACAATAGAAATGCTAATGGCTGAATTGGCCTTTAATCGCGTGCATAGCTTGACGTGTCCAGTGTTCGGGAATAAACGATCGAATCAACGCTTTTTCTTCCCACGTTCATTCCACGATTGGCGTAACGGGTCGTGCTCGCGCTGAAAATTGCAGTCCTGTCGGTTCTAACATTGCGATCCCCCTAGTCTACTGTTACAGCACGCAAAAATCATTGCAATTGCGCCAATAAATCTTCCACGCTAATGCCAGCCCCGGAGAAACAGTTATCAGATCTTCGAGATGCGATGGAGCTTTAACAATTTCCCGGCTATTATTTTCTCCGTTCATTAACGATTCGTTGAACTTGATGATCTAACGGAGGATCCATCGTGCTCTGGTATTATAGTAACAATATATCGAGTTCCAATGTACTGCACGTTTATACGTACGTACATATAGGTACTATTTATCTGCCGTATCTGTACATCTGATGGGAAACAAGTTTCCAGGAAAAAATGCTGGAGTTGTAGAAGTAATATTGTAGTGTACTACTGGTCTTACGAAGCGCTAAAACATTACGGAGAAAGCTGACAAGGAATTAGTAGTTTCTTCGTAACAAATTAACCACATGAACTTCAGCTTTTTATTGGCATTGCGTTCATCGCGGTAAACGGTAAACTTACAATTAATATTCGCGTTGAATAGTATTCACGATGAATAGTTGATTTATAAAAACGACAAGTTTCGAACATAGAACTACCTTTGGAACTTACATAATTATACAAAGTATAAAAACATAGCTCTTACAATAATTATAAATAATGAGTAAGCTATACCTAACTGCTTGACGAGAAACAGAAAACTTTTCATGTACTATGAACTTTGAATAAATTCGAAACCTAACCATATAATGGGAACGTAAAGATCACTGTGCATTGAGAATCATAGTTTTCTCGTGTCTTTCTATGGCGATCTTCTTGATCCTTTCCCACAGCATCGGATACGGATGTATGGTCCTAGCAAAATCGGCTCGGTTCAATCTATACAACTCGCACACCTCGCAAGCGATGACACTTGCCACCCTCATCTCGTCCGGCATAACCAACGCAACCTCTCCAAAGTGTGCACCGTCCTCCAAATGACACACTTCCTTTCCAGAATCCGTATAAATGGCGACGGTTCCCGTGCCGATGAAGTACATACAGTCACCAGTTTGGTTCGCCCTTACGATCACGTCGTTCGTAAGAAAGATCTCCGATCTGAGCAACGACACTATCCTGCTCAGCAACGACAGCGGAAGGTTGTTGAAGAACGTGACGTTCTCGACCAGCTTCCTGCAAGAGTGCATGCTGATCTCGTTACGCATGTGAGATGATAGTGTATGAATGATTTCAGACTCCCGAAAGAATCGATGCTGGAAACGAAACTCGTAGTATTCTATAATTCGTCTCTGGGTCGGATAGGGCAGCTGCTTGTGTCTCATGTATTGCCTCAACTGAGCCACGGTGCCCTGGTACCTCAGACGGGAACTGTTGGCACCCTTGAAGTACTGCATGACTCGAGTAATCAAGAACCAAGGTGAAACGATGCCGATCAACTGCATTATGATGATCAGATATATGTCGCCTACGTTTCGAGGATTCGAGTGTAGCAATCCACCTCTCAGGAACGTGGCAATGGCGCGTAACGTGCTGGCCAGGTACTGCTGATTCCTGGGAGCGTCCCAAAGGTTGGCAGCGTGTATCCACGAGTCGTTCTTGGGCGGTTGTGGAAGATACATCGAAGCTGCCGCGATGGGAATCAGCCAGTGGAAACAGGACTGCCAGTGCAACGCCATTAGCAGCCAGAAGACGATTTTGCAGAACTCGTAGAGTGCTATAGGCAAGTCGTAAACGAAGGCCAAGCGATCTATGTATGAACCCAAAGAGAACACGCGGAAAACGCAAATCAAGGATAACGTTTTGCGAATCACCATATACTCCTGCCACCTGGTTACGAAGAATAAATCTGTCGGGAAGGAACCTATGAAGTCGGGGATGAACGTGCTTGATTTGATGTAGTGCTCGACTATGCGATGCTGATCCAAAACCACTCCGTGCTCTTCTTTGTCAAAGTACCTGTAATTCGAGTTAATATTTAACACCCTTGGGTTCGGTATGGATCATGCCAGGCTTCTATAGGACAAATCGTTACTTACCCCGTGAAGAAATTGATCACTATGTCAACGCAGCAAAGTAGCAGGAGGAAATTTTTACTGGCAATCCAAGCTTCAGACTTCCTGATCATCTCGAAGGTGGCTTGATAGGGCACCAGCAGCAGGAGACTAGTTATCATGAAGATCATCAGGAAGTTCCAGAAATGCCTGCAAAAATCTGGGACGTAATACGTCTGCAAAGTGGACCGGATGCGCAAACGGGTATCAACTACTTTCACCAGCCGATTTATCACTACGTTAACTGTAACTCAATTTCACGGTCTCATCTCAATGAAAGTAGTGCACGTTAAGGAAAATGATAAAGTTTGGGAACGAGACTTCACCACCTGCCTTGTCAAATTCGAGAAGTCTGTGCTAGGGCGTTCTTTCCCTATATTATTATTTTATTGAAGAAAACCTGGCAAATTGACCCGGTGTACCTGAACATGCTGAACGGATGAATGATGTGCGGGAAATGTCGCAAATGACGTCGTTTTTCATAGACAATGGAGGCGCTGCTTCGCAGATACTTCTGAGCCGCTGGATTACGGCGAGAGGCTATCAGCGACAGACGAATAAAATCGAAGATTTTACGGAATGGCCCTCTGCCAGGTACGAACAGTATGTCTACTTCTCTGACGGAGAGTTCGCATTGGTGCTCAACGTGCAGCATGATTCAGCGTTCTGATAACGTGCGAAAGATAGGTACCGGGTCCTTTGAGAGAAGGTTATAGCAACCACAGGCGAGTAAAGATAGGCATTATGTAACAGTATTATTTATGCGCTACAGCTTCAGCCGGTTCGGTCGGGTTATGGGATAATAAGGACGTATCGATTTTCATGGAGTACTCCGTAACTGCGTCATAAGCAAGGATATCATTGATGTAATTCAATATGAATTTGGTATGCATTTAAGTAAAAGGGCAGTAGCCGTCTTTAAATTATAAACACATTTGAAAACGATACATTACTGAAACGTTTTATTGAATATGCATACATGTACTAGATTATAAATTTATTTAGTAGATAATATTTCTCACGCTCTATTATCAAAATAAATCGTTTAAATTATTAATTAAACATTTATGTGTTTGGGATCAGTTCCGAGCTACAAGAGTGTACGCTGTTTGATATCGCGGTGCTGTATAAAGTAATGCAATGTGTTAATTCATGGTTTACGAACTAAACTGCTCGTCAAACACGTGTTATATTTTTTAATTTAAAAAGGTTCGTCAAAAGGAACATCTCTTCCTTACTAGCTACATCAATAAAGGACAGAAGGCTGTCCTACTAGCACCATCTTGTGGTCGAAGCGAGAATGATGACGTTGTTTGTTATTTTTTGTATGAATTAAAATACAATTAAAATTCGATTACATGCTCACTTTTTCAACTATTTTAAATAAGAGGTGGCATATGTTATTTTTAATATTGCAAGGAATAAAGAGGAGAGAGTTTTACTCATCCCTGGAGATGATTGATCATAGATCTAGAGGAATTAATCAATATGATGAACGTGTATTAGAGAGAAAATTCTATATTTTTTTTTTTTATGGTGTTTGTTGAAAAATCCTTAAAAAAACATTTTAATAATTTTTCTTGAGAAGGGATGAAGGATACAATCATTTAGGAAAGGGTTAAAAAAACCTCCCATATCTTAGTTAACAAAGAATGCTACAGAAAATTTATCTTACCCACCTTCGGTTCAACATTTTAGAAGTTGCATATGTAAGAATGAAAGGCTTATTCCAAGCTATGCTCACAGAGGACCTTTCAGAACGTTCCAAAGTCGGTACCATTCTGTCCTTCAGACGGTAAAGGAGGTAGCTTCTCGAAGAGCGCACTAATGCAATATACTGCCATATAATAGTCTCAGTGAATGCAGTAAAATGTAATACGAAACTATTCAGTATCTCAGTGATTGCATATTTCACTAATCTAATAATCTTTTTAATTACCTTAAAATTACTGTCTGCTGGCTATGTAGGTACCTTTCCCAATTTCGAAATACTAAAACAACTAATTTTACAATTATGAATAACTAAATCACTTATATATTATGAATCCACTATCTCAAATTATAAAATTTTCATATCAATTTGTAACCAACTGATGTTTCATTACTGGCAAGGTAACTTTCCACTTGCCAGTAAAGCAGTTGAACGATATGGTAGTTTCCGGACGTTCGAAGGCAGCACTTCCGTTACTCCATCCATCATCCATCCAAATAACCAACCCTGAATTAACCAGCTTTTAATTACTTATTTGAAAGTATATTAAATGTTTGCTCGTTTCACAAAAAGGAATTGAATTCAATACGTGACACAGAATGATCTACTGCCACTTTAGATTTCTATTGTACGAAATCATCGATCCCTGCCACATAAATTCCAAGATTACTCCTCCAATGAAAAGCACGGATTTTTGCATATGAAAATCGTGGACCCACAAGATGGATGACCTTGCTCGCGATACATTTAAGCGACCTTATACACAAGTTAGCTTTACGGGGGCTCAGACCTCGGTTGCGTGCATGGCATAAGAACAAATTTCCATGGTGCACGTTGAGCGGCGGTGAATTCTCCGCGTAACGACAAGGTTTTATGGGCGATTTTATTTCTTGAACCTGCGCGAACGTATTTTCACGGACGTATTTATTATATTCCGGCCGATATCGTGTACCAGTCATAAAAGCTCTACTCGTTAGGGATTCAACGGGTACGTAACTTCGCTAACCACATTTTCCCTCCATTTTTTACCTTTTCCTCCCTATTTTTTTTCTCAACGAGTACATCGACGTGCAACCTCGTTTAATTAATGTTCGCATGTCAACGAAGACTATGGACTTTACCCCCTCGGTATGTCCGAGTTCAGTGTATTTGCACGCTACTATTTCTGTAAATATTAAAAACACAGCAAAATTTATTGTAAGATAGATCTTTTCGAACAGGGACCTAATGCGTGCATATGTACAATTTTAAATAAAATGACAGATTTTAACCCGTTGTATGTACATTGCAGTATTCGAAAATTTCCGAAATTCCCAGTAAAAATAAAAGATCGAATGTCCGTCCCGATTAACGCGCATACGTATTTAAATTTTTTGAAACGTTAATGCATTGTACATGTTAAAGCCAACGAAGATAGATTGTCTAAAATGAAGTTGTCGATTACCATGAATGGAAATTTCATAACGTTGAAAACTTCATACTGTCAGACCGTCAAAATTCTCTTCTCGAAACCGTAAACCTTCGCCATCAATTTACCATCACCGTTCTAACTCCCAGACCGGAGAACGTTCTCGACGGCGCCATCGAAACTGGGAGGTTTCGATCCCTGAATCGATTGGTTTACGGTAATACGTAATCTAAAGTCTCGGCTCGTTCCCGTCGAAAGCAGCAACCACCGAAATCGAGGGAACCCAGTTCGGCGTGGAAGTTGTGTTCGTCTTTTTCTCCGCATCTCGATAATAAATTTTCAAGTTGTCCGGCCGAGTTGTGGAACTCCGGTACGACGTTATGGACGATGCTCGAGAACAAGAAGGGTGGTTACACACAGGCTACGCTCGCAACCCTCTGCACATACTAACGTGGATTTATTGAGACCATCCTCCTCGTAACGACAAGTGACTGCGGACGAGTTCCTCTTGCTCTCTATCTTTCTCTCTTTCCGCTCGCTGTATCAATATCTCGTTAGAAAGAATGATGAAAATAAGAGTAAAATGTTTGTCCTCCGACCAACCTCTACGCATATCTTTTATTTCGCTTTTATCGCGGATTTACCTCGTCCACGTTTTATCACGGAATTGCTTTCAAATTTAACTAGAACTTAACTCGTACTCTATTAATTACTCGGTATCTTCGTGCACGCGATGCGAATGTGGGATTTAATACGTTCAAATTTGAATAATCATCGTTCGATGACTAAATAAGTTTATCTATGTCATCAAGCTCGAATGAGATCGCTAACATGGAAATCGTCTGTCCGTCGTTTTTGCGCAACTATAATCGTAATTCGCAAAATGGAACGGCCTATCAGCTGGCGTTAGAACGTATCGGTAATCGATAGTGGCGTGCAGTAGAATCGGCCGCGGTACAAAGACAATTATCGTTCTTGGAAATTGGCGACAAGTTGGCAATTGGCGATTTTCGGCGAATTGCTGTTTTACGCGCGCACAAGCGTCCACTGGCCAGCAAATGGAATAATGCACGTGGTGCAAGATGCGTGGGACGCAAAACGGGGAAAATGGAACTGCATCGAGCGAATTTTTGAACGTATCGCTTTGGTAAATAGCTTTTAACTACGTTCTCTATTTTTTCGCTTTTCCTGGTCAACGCGCCCGCCTCTGCGTAAATATTATCGTTGCGTTCTCAAATATTTTACAAATTAAACAAGCCGGAGTATTTAAACGAATTCAAGGATTTTCGAAGTTTTTGAAAATTTAAAGAATTAGCGATACGAAAATTCTACTAATACAACACTGCCAATGACGTCTAACAACCGAATATCTGCAGTCGAATCATATATTATTACTAAAACTGATATCGAATAAAAAATACAAGTTACCGTGTAAATTCAAAATAGTTCCCCTCGAGGCAGGAACAAGATAAAGTATAGCGTTTCTTGAATACCAGTTAGATGTCGCGTGCCCGTTCACGATCAAAGAATTAGGTCGGAAAGTAGCAACAATTACCATCAATCTGTCGGTGTAATTCAGCGGGAACGACGTGTTTCGTCGAAGAAAATCAATTTGTCGCTGTTAAATGGCCTGTATGATTTTTAGCTGGTACTTAGGTGCACACATTGATTTCATTACCGGCAAGCGTCGCGTTTCACTGCTCATTAAACCAACAGATAGATCTTTTGAACTCTGTGTACGTTGCGGTTGTCTTAGCTCTCCCTCGTGGATGCTTAACCAAGTTGAAACTTGATCGCAATTTACAGTCGACCCATGCTATCGAGCGTAAACGTGTACACGCGCGTGCACACAAACATACGGTAAAGGAGAAAATAATTTTCCGTTCGCAGGCGAACGAAATTAAAATTTCTCCGTGCGGCACACCGCTTCAACTTCTACACGGCTGATATCTATTGCCACGCTGCGCTGGCCCCTTGTAAAAATTACAGTTCGAGCAATTATTCCCGCGGCAAGCGTATAACGGCAGATAAACATGCGAGAACGCGCTTAAATTCATTTTAGACATGGCCTGAGAACGTTTGCTTCTACTCGCAAGAAGCAGGACGTTATTTCAATTTTCAATTCAGCACGCTGAATTATATAACAAGTTGATCGAGACTGAGATAAAAAGATATGAAAGGAAAGCTAAATTATAGCAAAATTAGGAACATGGGGACATACAAACGTATGACTATCTTAGAGCATAAAAATACACGAAATAAAAATATAAAAATCTGAAGATACCCTAATTTTCATCTTTCTAATTTCTAAATTTAGAGAACGAATTTGAAATTTCCATAAATCTCTCGACTGTTCATCCGATCCGTCCATCGCTGTACATAATTTGGTGCGTATATGATTTGATAGTTTCTAAAGGGTTGACTGATTAAAGCGATATTAAATCCGCGAGCTCCGTTCAAACAGCCCCCAAGTTGAAACTTGGTAGACTGAACAAGCGAACGCGGTGGATGCAAGAAAATTAAAAAGGGGAAAGAT